ATATATATATATATATATATATATATATATATATATATATATATAAACAGTGCCTTTTTTATCGGTGAGTTATTTTAATGGAATGTCTGATATTTAACTTTATCGGTAATATCGGCCGATACAATGTTGATAATATCGTGCATCCCTAATTTTAAGCCGTTATAAACCATTCCCACACTCTTGCAATGCTCTTAATGTTCTAAATTCTTAAACCTACGTAATTTTAACAATAAATGTATATGTACTGTACAGTACTGCAAAATTGTATATGGGTACTCACCAGTGAAGATACTACAACTTGAAGGATGAGGATTATTTGCGACTTTCCTGCCAGTTCAGCTTAATAGATAGATCGTTACTTCTGACTGTGTTGCAAAACTGTTTTTACCACATCGGTTTCTCCGCTAGTGTTTGCTGCCTCCATTGCTGTTATTTGAATTTCGGCAGAAAGCAGCGGCCGGAAGCACTGTTGGCTTCTGGGCCGTGTAGTTCTTTTGACTTGCATTACAGTGTAGGCTTATTGAAAGAAAACTACAAAAAGTTGGCGCCTGTCTAAAGTTTTGTTTGGTTTTTGTTTTATGGTTGGCTCCCGTTAACTTTCTATCACGTACTGTCCCGATCACGTGAGCAATATTAAAGTTGACAATCGTGTGTCAAAATCTTACGTTGACAACCCACAAAAGTGTGAGGCCGCGATTGTTGAACCGCGAAGTATCGAGGGATTACTATAAGTCCATCCAGTGGTTCATGAGATGTTTTGCTAACAAACACGAGCAAAAACATTATTCCCTGCCTTCACCTTTTGATAGCAGGTGATAATCAGGCTGTCCGTTAATCAGTTTGAAGAACAAGGTGAAGGCACCCTCAGCACCCCTGCTTCACTTGAACACATCCTGACTCTAATAAACACAAACATGGTCATTTGTGTGAGATTTAGCGTGTTTGTGTCTGCTTGAGTGGGTCCACCTCCAGGTCACAACACAATCTGAATATATTTCAAAATCTAAAATATGTTGCACATATTGGCTGTAAAAGCAGATCGTTTTAGTTTGAACTTTACACTTTAGCTTGGTTTTGGTGTGAGGGTTAAATTTGAAGTCTAGGAACCGTTCCTAAATGAGACCCCAGCTTCCCATCTGTCATTTTATTAACATTTGAATTAAGGAGGAGACTGAGAGTTTATTCAAATACACAGATGCCCAAATCTCCATGCAACTCCCCCCCAGTGTTTTCCGTTATAATTGAGTTTTTGCAGCTTCCTGTTGTCCGTGTGGGCTCTTACTTTGGTGTTTTTCTTAATTCAGCAGTGCTTTTTCACAACAAATAGTGACAACTTTATTAGACCAGACCTAGAAACAAACAACAAACACAATCCCAAAGTTTCACAGTAAATGTCCAGGCTAGTGCTGGTTTTGCGTGAGAGTTGCTCTTCAGCTGACCATCATGTTTCTTTGTTCTCATGATTCAAAAAGGTGAACGTTTGTGAAACTGGCTGGAGTTTATCGATCACACCTGAGGTCACCTCTTCTGTTTAATGATGGTTTTTACTGGTGTGGAGGTGGAAACGTCTTCACGGACCAGGAAACGAGGTTCAGTTCCTCCAGATGATTAAGAGTCTACAGATTTATCGTCCAAAGTGTTCAGTACAGCGGATTCAGATGGAGACGTTTTAGGCGCTGAAGGTTGCAGCGATGTGGGAACTCCTTGGAGAGCTCCGTGGACTCTGCATGGCCGCTGCAGACGGTGTGTGGTGTGTCAAGGAGTCAACATGTCGTTTAAAGTCCTCCGTGACGAACACGAGCAAGGCTTTATCTGGTTTCCTCCGCCCTGCGTGTCATGAGATGTCAAACACACATTCATTAGACTTGCATCAGGTAGACGCACGAAAAAGTTCAATCTTCCCTTGATCAAATAGATTTTTTTATTTTTTATAAATAAATCTTAAAACATCAACAAGCTGAACTGTCAAAATGTTACTTTCATCAGATTCCTCTCTGCTTCCCTTTGTTTTGTGCAATTACTGTATTTAAGGCTAATATAATTTTTATTAGTTAGGCCTGTCGCGATAAACAATAAATCAATTAATCGCACGATAAATGAAAATTATCGACCTCATTTTCGTTTATCGGCTTTATCGTTTCTTCATATCTCTCCCCTGAAGACACTGGATGACAAAAGGCTCAACTCCGGTGCTCTTCACTGACCCCTCCCTTTCCCTTTTCTCTTTAAAATCTGTTTAACCGCCCAAAATCGTGTTTTTGTATCATTCTAAGCTACGAGCTAAACTGAGAAGCTAAGCTACGAGCTAAGCTAACAGGCCGACCTCAGGGAAAAAAAACTCCAACTTGTTGAAGCTTCAAAATTCACGCTTGAAACCCGTCTTTGTGTAAAAAGTTGTTTTTCCTCTACAAAAAGAAGCTGAGAACTTGTTTACTGATTTTTTTTAATTAAAAGCTTTGTGTGACAAATGCTATGCTAAAAAGCTCAAACCACTCCAAGCGTCCGCCATTTTGAGAACCGAAAACAAGGAAGGAGAGACGGCCCATGTCACGTCAAGGGGCCTCCCTCCCATTTTTCTTAGAGACGCTGCTCACTCCCTCACTATCCATCCTTCGGTTCAAACGGTCTTATACTGCCATCTGGTGTTCGAAAAAATGTACCACGCACAAAAATTAACCAACATTTCTTCTTAAATTTGTTCGATCAATATTATCGTTTATCGCAATTATTTCTGAGACAATTTATCGCCCAGCAAAATGTTATCGTGACCGGCCTATATTAGAGACGGAACAAGTAATTACCTTGTATTGACCACTTTTCATTTTTAAATATGCAATCTTTCATGTCTGTATAAACTTTAGAAAACTAGAAGTGCTGCAACAACCAGCTCACTGTAGTTCACAATTAGGGGTGCACCGATAAATCGGCCCTGATTTCCTTAATTTTGGGAGATTGGAGATCGGCCGACACTTGCATGAGAAACTGCTTTTATACTGATTCTTTTTTGTAGTTTTAACAACAATTGTCTAAACTTCATTTATATTTCAGAGCACTACCTCATGGCCAGTTAAAACAAGTTTGCATTGTTTCTAGGATATTGTTCAAGGGTATGTTTTTCAATAAAATAAGATTGGGAAATTGATCATCAAGTATCGGCCAAAATCAGAATCGGCAGGTCAGACATTTTAGAAATCGATGATTGGCCAGAAAACTGCAATTGGTGCACCCCTACTCACAATTAATAATTTTTAAACAAGACTTCTCCTTTATATATTTTTAAATGCATACGTTGTTTTGAGGGTTATTACATTTACTTAAAAAAATACTTATTAGCGTTATGTCTGCCATAGATTGTCCCATTTTCTAAACATTTGTTGAGCTTTAATTCTTCTGAGAGCATAAAATGTTGCTATATGAACTTTTTTGTCTGTAATTATATTTTATTACGATCTGAATTATCACAAACTTTTTGTGTAAAGTATTTTCTTTGTCATTTTATCCGTCTACACCTAAAAAGACTGTTTTATTGGTACGTATAGAGATGAGCCATTTTTTTTCAGTTGAAAACGTCATTTCATGTGCTTTCTTGTCGTATTTTAGCCCCAAAGTGACAAAAGTACCGTGGCTGCCCCGAGCCGTGAGCCCTGCGTCACCAGCCGAACTGTAAAACTCCTTATGGACGATCGCGTTTTCACGTCAGCAGGAAAATGTTCGGCGCTCGGTTCAGATCTTTCAGGATCAGACTTTTAGCTGCTGCTCGGTGTTGATGAAAAGCCAGTCCGTGAAGTTTAGCTCAACTTTCTGGAGTTGGCGCTGGCCCTTTACTTTGTCTCCGGTTTTTCTTTTCATGTCTCCGATTCTGTTTACCGTTTGCGCCTGCTCTGCTCCCTCCTCCAGGTCTATGACAGTGATTACTTTAACCACCATCCAGTGTTTGTCAGCACCCCGTTGTTATCTCGTCTGCGCTCCGGCCGGAGCAGACAGACGGGACGGTGAGCTGGCTGTCTGCGAAACGCCTGGGATGTTGGCGAGGGAGCTCGTTTGCGTATTGGCTGAAGATGGGAAGGTTAACGCAGCTGCTCCTGACGAGGGCTGCTCATAGAAAAGTTTGAGTTTCACTCGAGTGAAAACGCGAATGATTCGTCTTTACAGCACACTGCTCTCCTTCTAGATGTCCGCCACAGAAAAGCAAGCTTAGCAAACAAGGAGATGGCAATAACACGTAGAACTGTACAGATACTGAGCTGAAATTTGATGTGGTAGTAGCTGAGAGTCATTCTCAACACACCAAGTACTAACAGGTCATGTGGGATATTTCATGGCACTAAATGTTATCAAGGTTTAACAAAAATGGCTCCAACTCCAACACAACTTAGTCGTTAAAAATCATTTCTTCCAGGAATTCTAGGCCTTAATTGTCTTGTTGATTTTTTTTTCTCTTATTTTATCATTTGTTTCCTGAAGTTTGGGAAAAGTTATTTCCAGTTTCTGACTCGGTTTGTCTCTGTTTGACCTAAATACGTTTGTCTTCTTCTTGCAGCTCCAGGAGACGGTGAAGAGGAAGCTGGACAGCGCTCGGTCGCCCCTGAACGGAGACCAGAACGGCATCTGCGATAGACGCAGCTACTCCCCGACCGCCAAGCGGGTTCTGAAGGAGAGCTCGGTTTTGGACTCGCTGACAGGTCTCCCGAAAAACAATAGCAACAATGTGCCACCCATCTCTCCACTGCATCACCAAATGGACATTAAGCCCTTACTGGACGGGCCCAACCCCTCCACCGCCAACAACACTATAAGCAGCAACGGCACCCTCACGGGTCGAGCGTCAGACGAGCTGGGAAAGAGCGACGGCATCCACCTTCCGGACATGAAGCTGAATCCTTCTCTGGACCTGGAGGACAGTTTCGGCCTCCTCAAGGACCTGAAACAGGAGCCGCTGGATGATGGGGGAGGCATAGAGTCCACCGATCCCCAGTCTCTGTCTAATCAGAACAAACTGTTCTCGGACATCAACCTCAACGACCAGGAGTGGCAGGAGCTGATCGACGAGCTGGCCAACACGGTGCCCGAGGACGACATGCACGACCTCTTCAACGAGGACTTCGAGGACAAGAAGGAGGTGGAGTTCGGCAGGCCGGCTAACAATCAGACGCCCGGTCCGCAGGACACGGCAGGGAATACGACGACGCCCGGAGGAGGGGCGGCGCCCACGACTCCTCTGCCTCCTCCTCCTCAGCCTCCGCAGGGAGGCCCGCAGGTTCCCATCGGGTCACCACAGGTCAGTCTAAATAGGGTGCACGCTGGTCTTCATGGTTCTTATGAGCATACTTTAGAAAAAGCATTAGAATGACGTAATTTTTATACTTACGATAAATGACTAATTTATTGTAAACAACCTGCAGTTTATCTATTTTGGTAAATAGATTATTTGCTTTTATGGTTTAATTAAATGTTTTCAGTTGGATGAGTACATATTTAAATTGCCTACAAAATAAGAGGCAAATGTCAACAAATTTAACTAAACAATAATAATTATTGAGCAGATACTGAGTCAGCATTCACACATTTTTCTGTTTAAAGTTTCTTTTGTACGTTTTTGGTAGTCAAACCACCTCCACATACTTTGTGCTATTTTAACCATTCATGCCTCAAATTAGTCACAAAGTCAACTTTATTGTCAAAATATGAACAGGACATACACAGGATTGAAATTACATTAATCTCAGAAATTACTGGGTTTGATGAGGAGTGTTGTGTTATACACGTGTTTGTTGTAACCTTTTACAATTTTTGACTTATTCGATTTTATTTGCAACAGTTTTCGTCATAGTAATGCATTATTTCTTAAATTTCTTCAAAAGCGTGGCTCAGCATGAGGGAAGCGGGGTGCTAGCTTTTAGCTAACACGTCTGTATTGTGCGCTGCTAGCTTAGCTCTACGTCTGTGCCGGCAGTCGGGGGGGTTAGTTTGGTAGGCAGGGTGCTCGGTTCTGTTGGCAGGGCGGGGCACCCTGGTTGTAGAATGGTATGGGAAACACTGTTGGATGACTGAGCTTACATCAGGACTTTTAGCTGCTGTTTTGCTACATGTAGCTTTTGGCCATTGTTTAACTATTTTTTCTTTCTAGCTACTCATCCATCCATCCATTTTCTTTACCCGCTTATTCCATTTTGGGTCACGGGGGTCTCTGGTGCCCATGCCCAGCAATCACTGTGCGAGGGGCGGGGTACACCCTGGACGGGTCGCAAGTCCATCACAGGGCCACATAGAGACAAACGAGACAAACAACCATTCACTCTCTCTCTCACACCTAGGGACAATTTAGAGTTACCAATCAGCCTAACATGCATGTTTTTGGTATGTGGGAAGAAACCGGAGTACCCGGAGAAAACCCACGCATGCACGGAGAGAACATGCAAACTCCACCCAGAAAGGCCCCTGGACCGGGGTTTGAACCAGGGACCTGCTCACTGAGAGGCAGCAGCTCTACCAGTTGGGCCACCGTGCTGCCCTTTCTAGCTACTGTTTTACTAATTTTATTTTAAGTTGGTTTATTATCTATTTTAGCCTTTAGCTACAGTATTAATGTTTTTTTTTTAAACTGCTAATTTAAAATATTTTGCTAAATACAGTTTGACTTATTATTTATATATGGGAGTGGTGGCGCAGAGGTTGGAGAAGGTGGACCTGTGATCTGAAGGTCGCTGGTTCAACTCCCTGTACCAACAACATCAAAATGTGGGTGGGAAAGGTGAAACACTCACACCTGCCTCCACCCTCTTTTGCCCCACTCTGGACCCTTGAGCAAGGCACTGAACCTCCACCATCTGCTCCCCCGGGCGCCCAAGATGGCAGCTCTCTGCTCCACACAGAGGGCTGTGGTTGCGTCAGGAAGGGCATCGATGGGCTGCAACAGTTGCTTATTTAAGGTCATCGCCGATGTCTTTCCGCCTTGGCATCGTATTAACACACGCCTGAATGCTCCAGAGCATCAAAGTGATAAAGCACCTGTCTTTGTTGTGTCAGTCTCACTCATGATGATTGCGTCATCCAAACAGGTAACTTGCAACGTGTTTTTTTGTTTAAATTCAAGTAGATTTATTCATTCACCTTTCCATTCAGTGACTTTGGGTTTATTGTCTGACTGTGGTGTGAGCGCAGGCTTTGGTAAAGAAAGAAAGAACAACATGGCACCAAACTTAGCAGGAAACAGATTAATGAAAGGATAACCAAGCAAAGACAAATTAACGGAAGCATTTTCTTTAGATTTTATGCTAAATCTAAGAAATGGACTTCTCAAGTTGAGTTTTACCTTTTTATTGGGGGTAACTTTTTTTACCATGACCTCCCTCTTGTCTTCTCAGGTGCGACCGTCATCTTCTGGCCCTCAGTTTGCAACCACTGCCAATGGGACCCCTCCTCAGCAGCCTCTGCAGCAGTCTCCAGCTGTTGCCATGCCGTCAGGTTCCCCGTTGCACAACTGCGTCGCTCAGTCTCCTCAAACCCCGACCCAGGCTCAGACGCAAGCGGTCTCCAGGCCTGGGAACGGATACATGATGAACCCAGGCCCGGTGGGTCAGTCGGGGACGGGAGGAGGCGGAGGAGCCGGCAGCGGCGGCCCTGGGGGTCAGCCTTTGGGACCGGTCACGCCTGAACTTTCTAAAGCGGAGCAGCTCAAGGCGATGGCCCAGCAGCACGTTCAGGCCAAACTGATGCAGCAGAAGCAGCAGCAGCAGAAACAAGCAGCTAACTGGTCCCCTGCAGGGCCCCCCACCAGCCCCTACAACTCTGGTCCCTTTAACCAAGATAAACCCAACAGCCCAATGATGTACCCGCCACAAGCCTTTAACACGCCGCAGGCCCCCATGAACAACTACCTCCCTCACAACCACATCAGCATGATGGGCCAGCAGCAGCCGAACAGCATAAACCAGAGCGCCATGTCCAAACAGCAGCAGCAGACGGCCACCATGCTGTCGTACAACAACACCAAACCGCTGAGTCACTTCAGCGGCGGCGGCGTGGACCACATGAGTCAGAGGATGACTCCGCCCATGGGGGGGAACAGTCAGGTCAAGAACCCCATGATGACGCCGTTTATGGGTGGTGCGGGAGGTGGCGGGCAGGGAGCAGGGCCGGGGCAGACTCAGGGGCCCATCCCAGGACAGACGGCCCACCTGGGGGAAGAACAGAAGAGGATGCTGATGATGAAGCAGAAAGTGTTGCCGTACGGTACCATGCAGTCCCACGGACAGGTAAGTGTTTTTTTGTTGTTTTTTTTTTTTTGGGGGGGGGGGGG